TCGTATAAGTAATAATTATGTTTTTATAATGCCTTATTACTGAATTGTTTCAAGGCACACAGAACATCTCATTCTTCATAGTTTTCCGTGACAAACATTTTTTAATGCTTTCATCAGGATGCCACCCTAATACATGCCTTTTAGTGACTTTACTGCTAATTTTCCTTCTGTATTTTATGCAGTGTAATGGGGTAGTTACTTTTCTGCAATGTTTCTGCTTACAATTTCACAGCACATCAGATGTATACAAGCAAAAATTTAAGACTAATCTCCTGAAAGGCAAAATTTGCCAAAGCACTGAACACTTTCACAGCTTTAGTTCAGACCAATTACCCTGGCTCAGCTTCCACCAGAGTGTAACACCTCAAGATTTATACATCAAAACAAGCTGAATTCCACAACGCAGCTCGGTTTAACAAAGCTTAAAGAAAATAGCAAAGAACTGCCCTGAATTTCAGCACATTTCTAAAACACAAACACAGAGCAATGATGTGACAGCCTACAGATAGGGCTGGTGTCAGAGGATAAGACCTATGACAAAGTTTAAGACTTGCAGTCTATCTGAAGATGCATTAGATCACCCCCACAGGCTTCAGGTCTGTTAAATTTATTAAGGTTTCTTCTTTACATTATTTTAAGGAGGATAATGCTTAATTCTGTATTACTTAAATAGATTGGTTTCCTAAAACACGAAAGGATAGCACAAGCCTATTTTGTTATGTATGTTAACAGAATAACACTCATCAGTAACACTTGCCACACAGCTAAGAAAATATGCACCAAGTCTTCTGTAAAAAAAAAATAAATAAATCTGGGGAACCCCTGTAACTATTTACTATGACAAAGCTTCATTTTTTTTAGCATGCAGAACTGTATTGGGGATAAAATGCGAGAAGAACTCGTAACAATTTAACAGGAATAATTATTTCCACATAATTAACAGGCATCTCAACTGTGACTGCTACCATGTACATCTAAGCACAGTACATCTGACTGTGACTTCTGTGCTCAGACAATATAATCCGCACTAACAAGCAATGTCCTACTTAATGCCTGCTGTGAAACTATCCCTGGTTTTGCTCTTGCCCCTTTTCCCTTTCTTTTTACTTTTATCTTACAGTATTAAAAATGAGAACCTGCTAAAGAACCTTCCTGAAAGACACATTTAAAGACATCTAAAGAGTTGCTTCATAAAGCATGCCTGCTATTTAAAAGTCCTAAGCAATTTAATTTTAAAATATAGACAAAAAATATATTTAAAAAACGACTGTAGGCAGTTTGATTGGCTTCTGATCTGAATTCTTCAGTACAGTGGTGAGGACAGTGCAATTCTCTCAAATGCTCTTGACAAAAACTGAAACAGTGTTTTATGGAAGTCTTTCCAGCTCTCTCTGTTCCTGACACAGATTCTCAGGCAAGTACAAAAGAAGACTTTTCCATAATTCAGTTCTTCACTGAACGTAGTGACCAGAAGAAGAGGGGTCAATGGCAACAAGCTCCTGTCCAGTGCCAGAGGTGCTTCCCCTCAAAAACAACCCCTTCTTCCCAGGTGCTCTTGCATAACATGTACAATGAGGTCCTGCAAGTGGAACCTAATAATAATGAGGATGACAATTCAGCCAGCTGAGAAGTGTCACCAAGATGTCAGCCTACATCCTGCAACAAGCTGCTTCTACAATGAAAAGATGGGTCATTGCCATAGGTGACTCCCTCCTGAGGGGAACGGAAGGCCCAATATGTAGACCTGACCCACTTCTTGGGGAAGTCTACTGCCTCTTGAGTGCCTGGGTTAAAGATGTGGTGAGAAAACTTCCTACCCCTGTACAGCCCTCAGATTATTAGCCATTATTTGACTTTTCAGGTAGGCAGTGATGAACTTGCAACAAGAATTCCAAGGGCAATCATGAGAGACTTAAAGGCCTTGGGACACACTGGTCCAGGGACTAGAAGAAAAATTTGTGTTCTTTATCCCACCAGCTGCAGAGAAAAATGATGGAAGAAGCAGGAGTACCCAGCAGACCAATACCTGGCTCCGAGACTGGCATCACTGGCAGGAGATTGGGTTTTCTGATCACTGCTCAGCTTACACAACACCGTGCCTGCTGGGGCGACAGGTGGGCTATACCTGTCCCAAAGAGGGAAAAGGATTTTTCCCCAGGCGTTGGCAAGGCTCATCGAAAGAGCTTTGAACTAGATTGGAAGGGGGATCCCTTCACTTCAGTCTTTGGGACAGCGTGCTAGCAAGGTCCTTTGGTCTGCCAGCCCGGTGGAGACGGGGGATAAAGCGTCATGTGATGGCAAAGACAGAAGGGATACACAGGGGCTAGAAAGGACAGAAGCACCTGGAGATGGTCAGGTAGGAATGAGGCTTTCTCCAACCAAAAAGGTGACAGGATCAATAGCCCAGCTGAAGTGCATCTACACCAACACACGCAGCATGGGCAACAAACAGGAGGAGCTGGAAGCCCCTGTGCAGCAAGGAAGCTGTGACATGGTTGCCATCACAGGATGGTGAACGATTAGCACAGCTGGAGCTCTGCAGTGGATAAACTCCTCAGAAGAGACAGGCCAGGAAGGAGAGGTGGTGCAGTGGCCCTGTATGCTAGGGAGTGTTTTGATTGTCTAGAGCTTAATGATAGTGACAATAGGGTCTGTCAATAAAAGAATGTTTCTATACATTAACAGCAAAAGGAGGTCTAAGGAGAATCTTTATCCTCTTTTGGATGCACAGGAAAATACAGTGACCAAGGACGAAGAAACGGCAGAGGTACTGAACACCTTCTTTGCCTCAGTCTTCAATAGTCACCCCAGTTGTTCTCTTGAGTGCCCAGCTCCTCGGGCTGGAAGACAGAAAGGGAGCAGAGTGAAGCCCCCATTATCCAAGGGGAAATGGTCAGTGATGTACATCACCCAGACACACACAGATTTGTGGAGCCAGATGGGACCCACACAAGTGTACTGAGGAAGCTGGAAGCAGTGCTCACCAAGCCACTTTGCACCGCTTATCAGCAGCCCTGGCTAACCAGGTATGGTCCAGCTGACACATGGCACAAGAGGAAATGGCCTCAGGTTGCACTAGGGGAAGTTTAGATTACCTATTAGGGAAAAATCTCTTCACAGAAGGGGTTGTAAAGCACCAGAACAGGCTGCCCAGGGAAGTGGCAGAGTTGTCATGAAAAGACAGATAGATGGAGCACGTAAGGACACAGTTTAGTGGTGACCTGGCAGTGGTGGGATAACAGCTGGATTTGATGATCTTGAAGGTCTCTTCCAACCAGAACAATTCTGTGATTATGATACTGTACCTTCTTTTTAGGATGCAGGGTCCTGAGTTGACAAAGTAATTGTAGCTTATCTCTCAAAATCCTTGCTAGCTGAGTGCCTCTCCCCTGGTTATAGAGCAGCCAGGACTCAGACCCCGTTAGAAATACTTTGTGGTCAACATGCACCAGCACCTCAGTGTCCTTATTGTAGTTGAGGAGCCCAAAACTGAACACAGTATTTGACACAGAAGTGCTGGGGTTAAACCCCCAGCCCTGGATGAGGGTTGGCCTATGGATGATGTCCACAACCAGGCAAGAAAGCCCCTCCTGACTGGTTTTCACCCAGGGTCTGGCCAGCCTTGGGTGGGAGCTCATGGAGAGATCACTGCAAGGTGCTCCCACCTTCAGCATTAACTTGGAGGTGGGGCAAAGAGCCACCTCTCTAAGAGCTGACTGCTTGCAGTGGGGTTGGGAGGTTTGACTATGTAGTGTATGTGTTGTGGTTATTGAAAGGGCTCTTTGACTGTCTAGGAAGTGGAGTTCCCAGCATGGAAGGGCCAGATCATGAGGCTCCCTCTG